TTATTTGTATGCCCCCAAATTTTGCACACACACTCTCTTCATCTCAATAATCAATCCTTCAAAAAAAAAAGGGATCAATTTGAACCCTAGATATGATCAAAATGAGTCCCCTCTAAAAACGAATCAAGACAATTCATTTTGTGAATTTCAAAATCTTAGCCTTTATAAACTCAAAATCATTTTTTTCTTTTTTAACATTGTTCATTTAATGATAATAAAGCCATCCAAAAGAATTGGAAATAAAAAAATCCTTCTAAGGCCTAGATCTAAGTATCTCACCAAAATGAATGGCCTAGGTTAATTGGGCTAAAAAAATACTTTCTAAGTTGTGTTTTCAAAATTTTCTTTTTTGTTAATTGTTAATTAGAATAAAAAGAGTGTATATTTCAAAATTTGGATCAAACAAATGGCCCTAAAAATGGTTTTTTAAGATTATTGCATCATATTAATATACAATGGTTGCCTGAAATTCAACCATTTAGCCTAGTACAAAAAATTCACTAGAAAATGTTTTTTTTATGGCCAAATATTTTCAAATCGATCATCTCGACATCATGATGTTTGCATATGAAAAAAAATGGATTTCAAGTTTTGAAAATAGTGCATTTTGTAATGCATTTTTGGACTGTCAATTTTTCAGATTTTCATAGATCTATCGATATCCACTATTTTTGAAGCTTTAAACTTTATAAATAAATATAAAAAAGTATTTTAAGTATATCACAAAGATTCATGATTTGAAACCACATTTCTCGATACTATTTGAAGGTAGGCTCTAATTTTGATTGTTTAGAGCCTAGGCTCCATATAAACCACTCCATTTTATAATTGTACTCAACAAATTTTAGACACTTATATAACCTTGTTTTGTAATACAATATATATTTTTTAATAAGTATATTTTTTTGTCATTAGGAGAGGTATTACATCATTCATATAAAGTGTGATATCACCTACTTGAAGCATTAAATGCTACTAGTGTACTGTATGTGGGTGAAAACACATACTATGCAGATGATGTCACGCATCTCCTAATCCCTAAAAATACCCTTGTTAAAAAATTCTTCATATACAAAAAAAGGGTATATTAGTGTCTAAAATTTGTTAAGTACAATTATAAAATGCTCTATAGTGTCAGTACTTTAATATATATATATATATATATGTGTGTGTGTGTGTGTGTGTGTGTGTGTGTGTGTGTAGTATGTGTATGTGTAGTGTGTGTGTG